AGCAATCTTAAGCAGCTCCACACCAAGTGTACAGCCTGCCTGACGTGGGGCTCACACTCTTATGCCCCTGAAATCATGACCTGAGCTGAAGTCGAGAGTTGAAGGCTTTTTTTTTTTTTTTAAAGATTTTATTTATTTATTCATGAGAGACAGAGAGAGAGAGGCAGAGACACAGGCAGAGGGAGAAGCAGGCCCCATACAGGGAGCCCGATGTGGGACTCGATCCTTGGACTCCAAGATCATGCCCCCGGCCAAAGGCAGGCGCTAAACCACTGAGCCACCCAGGGATCCCCCGAGAGTTGAAGGCTTAACGGACTAAACTACCTTGGCGCCCCAGTTATACTCTTTCTTAAAATCACTAGATGGTTGTACAAAAGACACATATTATTAAAGATTATTTCCTTCCAATACCAGTTACAAAGAGGGTGCTTGTTTTTCCAAAGGTTGCTAAGCTTCTCTCTCAAGTATCTACTGACCACTCACAGAAGACAAACTATATTCTAGGAAAAGTTGTTCAGGGATCCCTGGGTGGCGCAGCGGTTTGGCGCCTGCCTTTGGCCCAGGGCGCGATCCTGGAGACCCGGGATCGAATCCCACGTCAGGCTCCCGGTGCATGGAACCTGCTTCTCCCTCTGCCTGTGTCTCTGCCTCTCTCTCTCTCACTGTGTGACTATCATAAATAAAAAAAAAAAAAAAAAAAAAAAAAATTAAAAAAAAAAAAAAAGTTGTTCAAAGCGGCTTATTTGATGGTTCCATTTTTTACCGCTTAACCTATTCTCTGTGGATCTCATATACTTCATTCACTAGTTCATCAGGATTACAGTCATCTTGATCAGCTGATCATCTTCATAACATCTCTTCTCCTGATAGAAGTGTTCGCTATTTTAAACTTTCCCAAGGACCAAATTCATCTCCCGTGTTCAATTTTGCCCCAACTTTTGGACAATGACAAGGACTAACACCACAGAAAGCTTCCTGTGAAAACCTGCTAGCTCCCACTATCCCTATATATTTTGTTTGTGAATTTATTTTTAAGATTTTATTTACTTATTTGAGAGAGAGAGAGAGAGGACAAAGAGGCAGAGCAGCAGGCAGAGGGAGAAGCAGATTCCCCGCTGAGCAGGGAGCCCAATGTGGGGCTCGATCCTAGGATCATGACCAGAGCTGAAGGCAGAAGCTTCACCAACTGAGCCACCCAGGTGCCCCTGTTTGTGAATTTATAAACTGAGACTGGGGGCAAGCGTGTGCAGTACTTGTAACACAAAGGAGCACAGACTAGATATTATACTGGTGTGGGGGGATGTGGTTATTGAAGACACAATCTTTTATCTCCTGTTAATTATCTGGTCCAACAAAACTCCCAAACTAAATCATAACTCATATTTAAAAAATTGAGATTAATTCACATACCATAAAACTTACCTTCTAAAGTATACAGTTCGGTGGTTTTTTTCCATCACCACTATCTAATTTGAGAATATTTTCATCATCCCTAAAAGAAACCCACACCCACTAGTAGTCACTTCTTCCCATTTCCTCCCTCCCCCAGCTCCTGGCAACCACTAATCTATCTTCTGCCAATAGATTTATCTATTCTGGACATTTCATATAAATGAAATCATGCAATACATGACCATTTATATCTGGTATCTTTCCCTTAATGTAATGTTTTCAAAGTTCATCCAGGTTGTAGTAGGAATCAGTTCATTCATGCATCTTCATGACCATAGTTTTGCCAGGACAAGTTTTAGTTTAATTCTTTGTCACACCATTACTTTCACACAAAATTCTTTGAAGGAAGAAAAATTAATCAAATCTTTAATATCTACTTCCTGGCATATTATAAAGCAATAGGTCATGAATTCAAACTAATTCAGAATGACAAATGACTAATTCAGAATGACAGAGGAGATGAAAAACAGGAAAACTGCAGCCTACGAATCAACTGAAACAGGTAATACCTTTATAAAACTGCTTTCCCACTGAAGACCTGCAAACCTCGTGTAAAATTCATCTCTTCCTGAAACCCCCTCACTACTTGTTTCTCCAGCAATAAAAAGGGTCAGATTTTACATTCTTAGTAGTACAGGATACATACTCAGGATTAGGATCAATAAGCGATTGCAATAGTTAGATCCAGCTACATAGCAAAGCCCTACTTTATTTTCTGTCATGCTAGGTGACTGCAACGGCCACCTAAGCGGCTTCTGGTTTTACTTGCTTATGACTGAGAGTTTCTTTTTTAAAGATTGAGAGCATGCACAAGCAGAGGCAACTGGCAGAGGGAGAGGGAGCAGCAGACTCCCCGCTGAGCTGGGAACCCTGTGTGGACCTCAATCCTGGGACCCTGAGATCATGACCTGAGCCGAAGGCAGATGCTTTAATGACTGAGCCAACCAGGTACCCCAAGACTGAGTTTTCTGTGAAAGTTCAAGCTCCCCCTTCTGTAACAGAGAGATGTTACTGAGAATCAGCTGTTCAGGCAGGGACTACATACTCCAGCCCTTCTTGCAACTAGTTTTTACCAATGGGTCATAGTAGAAGTGATTTAACTTCTAAGACAAGGTGGATAAGAGAGGGGGTACTCCTTTACCACTCTCCTGATGCTGGTCATTCTTCACACAGAGGACTACACCGGCCTGGGAGACGGGGACACCACAAACTGGGAAGAGCCTCAGTTCCAAGCACCAAGTAGAGGAAAGCTGCTTGCCACGTGGACTATTATGTGGGCAAGAAACTTCTACAGTGTTAAGCCTCTTAGCATTTTGGGGTTTATGTTTTGAAGCAGCTAGTGATTATTAATCAGAGCTTATTAATATTTCACCTAGTATACTTCAGATATACCAAATAATCATTGCTTTTAATATCCTAATCTTATTTAATAAAAGTCTAAAATGACTCCCAAGTGTCTACTTAAGGACAATCGGGATCCTTCAAGGTATAGCCTTGAATACCATACTAAATTTAGCCACCGTTGTGTCTTTTCTATTAGATCTGTGAAATCTGTCATATATACAGAAATGATCTATGATCTATGTAATGATCTATGTAAACAATAAAGAAAATACCTGGGAGTCATTGTCCAAGCTAAGAAAAAGAAGATATATAGTAACTCAGCTCAGACTGCATCCTCTCTATCTCCTTAAGAGGTAAACCACTTCTCTGATTTAGTAGACAATTATTCTTTCGCTTTATTTTAAACATACTGCCTTATGAATGATTTCCTAAACTGTGCGTTTAATGTGGCCTGTTTTTGAACTTTATATGAATTTAATCGAACTGTATATTCTACTGAGATTGGTTGCTTTTGTTCAATGTTTGAAAGATGCATTACTGTTAAAGAGTACAGCTATATTTAACTCATTTTGATTGTTGTGTGGTGTTCCACCCAATAAATATACTACAACTTCTTTATTCATTTTCCTTTTGTTAATAGTCAGCTAGATCGTATCCAGGCTTCAGCAATGTGTACTGTTATCCACATCCCTACTGTATTTTCCAGTATGCATGTGCAAGGATTACTCTTGTGTAGGAGTTCTCAATTGGGGGTGATGTATTTGTCCCCCAGGGCATATTCAAAAATGTCAAGAGACATTTTTGGTTGTCACAACTGGGTGCTATGCTACTGGCACCTTGTGGCTAAAGGCCAGAGATTCTACAGCCTAAAATGGACAGGACAGGCCTCCCACAATAAAGAATTACCTGACCTAAAATGTCAGTAGTGCTGAGCTATATACCTAGGGGCAAAACTGCTGGGTCACAGGGCGTGTGCTCACAACTTTATTAAGTAATGCAAACTGGTTTCCAAAATAGCTGTGTCAATTTTACTTCCATCAGTGGTGTCAGAGTTCTCTTTCTCCATTTCCTCACTAACTCTTAGCTTTGTCAATTTGTAGCACAGAATTGATGGGTATGTAGTGGTATATCACTGTTTTTTTTTTTATTAAAGATTTTTATTTATTTATTCATGAGACACACACACACACACACAGAGAGAGAGAGAGAGAGAGAGAGAGAGAGAGAGAGAGGCAGAGACACAGAGGGAGAAGCAGGCTTCATGCAGGGAGCCTGACGCGGGACTCGATCCCGCAACTCCAGGATCACACCCTGGGCTGAAGGCAGCGCCAAACCGCTGAGCCACCCGGCTGCCCTATCACTGTGGTTTTAATTTACATTTCCCTCACTACTGGCAGGGTTAAACAAATTTTCATATGTTTACTGGTCACTAGGATTTCTAATTGTGAAGTACTTACTTGTTCAAGAGTTTATTTTTCTACTCGGTTTCTTTCTTTTATGATTCCCAAGTTATTTTTATATTCTGGATGTATTTCTGAGGGTATTAAGTATTATAAATATATTCTTCCAGTTTGTGGTTAGTCTTTTCATACCTTTTTTTGGGGGGGGGGTTAAATTTTTATTTTAAAAGCTTGGATAGCTTCAATATCCAGGTCGTGGCAAAATCAGGACACGTGTAAAATACCTTAGATTCCCAAAAGGTACCAAAAAGTACAGTAAAATTAACACTTCCATTAACAGGAAATGTATGACACAAATAATATAAAATTAAAAGGTGAAAAAAAGGGGATGCCTGGGTGGCGCAGCAGTTTGGCGCCTGCCTTTGGCCCAGGGCGCGATCCTGGAGACCCGGGATCGAATCCCACGTCGGGCTCCCGGTGCATGGAGCCTGCTTCTCCCTCTGCCTGTGTCTCTGCCTCTCTCTGTGTGTGACTATCATAAATAAAAAAATTAAAAAAAAAAAGAAAGGTGAAAAAAAGGTGACACTGGTTTTCTAGGATACAGTTTACTCTTTATAACCAGGGTCCACAGGTCCAGGCTGCAGCGCAGCAGCAGGAAACAGACCCTCCAATCTGGCTCTGGGAACCCGAGAATAAAATCAGCCCATAATGCCGCTCTGGCCTCAGAGACCCCACACGCTGCCTACAAACTAGAGCTCTGGAAATAGTCAACAGGAAATTGATTTCCGGGGGGGGGGGGGGGGGAGATTTAAATAAGATGCACATGGGACAGGCCATAAAAAGTATGCCAAGTTAAATTTGGTACATAATTGTGTTCACTCGATATCCAAACAAAGCGTGTGCGATCAGTCGGGCATCCTGCTGAATGAAGCCTCAGTATGGCTTGTAGTTATTCTGGTGGCCGCCGCATCTCTGGCTCTTCCCGTAATTTGTACTACCCTGACTGTAGTCGTAGCCGGGGCCGTAGCCGTAATAGCCATAGGGCGAGTAGTCGTAGCCGCCATAGCCGGGCCCGTAGCCCTGGTTCCAGTAGTTGCCATAGCCCTGATTCCAACTCTGACTCTGACCTCCACTTCCACCACCACCGCCGCTGCCCCGGTTCCCTCGGTTGCGGTTCCCACGGCCCCCAGAGCCATACTGCTGCTGCTGATAGACCTCTTTGGGTTGGGCCACCTTGATTTCACACTTACTTCCACTGATGGTATGGAACTTTTTCTCCAGAACCTTCCTCACAGGTTCTTTTTCTTTAAAAGTGATGAAGACAAAACCTCGTCTTTTGTTTGACTTTGGATCCACTGGAAGCTCAATGGCCTCAATCTCCCCAAACTTGCCGAAGTATTTTCTGATCTTCTCCTCAGTGGCTTCAGGATTCAGACCCCCTACAAAAATTTTCTTTACCGGATCCTTTTTCATGGCCATGGCCTTTTTGGGGTCAATGACACGGCCATCCAGCCTGTGTTCCTTCTGGTCTAGAACCTTCTCCACACTGGCTGCATCTTTGAAGAGAATAAACCCAAACCCTCTTGACTGGCCAGTGTTTGGATCCATTTTTATGGTACAGTCAATGACCTCTCCAAATTTGGTAAAATAATCCTTTAGGTCCTTTTTGCTGGTATCCCAGCTCAGGCCTCCAATGAACATTTTCCCGCGTCCTCCTCGTTCTTGCTGGCATTGATCTGGTCGCCCTCGGCGCCGTTCTGGTTGCCGGCCAGGGGCGCCGCGCTCCTGCCTCCGGCACCTGTCGCGGCCCTGGTGCCGGACCCCACCGGCGACTCGCCTTTGGGGGCGGCCTCGTGTCCATTCTCGGTGGTGCCTGTCGTCTCCATGGGCTGCTCCTCACCTGCTTCCGACATGCTAGGCCGAGGCGCGGCACCTCTCGGGCCCGCGCGGTGCCGCCGCCTGACAATGCCGACTCGTGGCGCTCTTTATAATGCTGGGGCCGGGCCCACCTTGCAACAAGGCGCTCTTTTCATACTTTTTAATGTCTTTAATGAATAGTTCTCAATTTGTACAAATACAAGATAAAATTTATTACTTTTCTAATAAATGCTTTGTCTTTTTAAAAAATATTTAAAAATATTTTATTTATTTGATGGAGATGGAGAGGGAGAGAGGGAGAGAGGGAGAGAGAGAGAGAGAGAGAGAGAGAGAGAGAAAACACAAGCAAGGGGAAGTGGCAGGCAGAGGGATAGAAAGAAGCAGGCTCCGAATGCGGGGCTCAATCCCAGGACCTTGGGATCACTACCTGAGCCAAAGGCAGACGCTTAACTGACTGATCCATCTAGGCACCTTCTACTTTTTAAAAAAGATTTTATTTACTTATTTGAGAGAGAGAGAGTATGAACTGGGGGGGGGGGGGGTTCCCACTGAGCAGGGAGCCAGACGAGGAACTAGATCCCAGGACCCTGAGATCATGACCCGAGCTGAAGGCAGAAGCTTAATCAACTGAGCCACCCAGGCACCCCAATATTACTGTCATATATCAAGTGTTTATAAATAGGGGATCTATTTTTTTTTTAAGATTTTATCATTTAAAAAAAAAGATTTTTAAAATTTATTTATGTGAGAGAGAGCACTAGAGTGAGAATGAACAGGGGGAAGGGAAGAGGGAGAAGCAGACTCCCCACTGAGCATGAATCCTAAGATCATTACCTGAGCCAAAGTCAGACTCTTAACCAACTAAGCCACCCAGGCGTCCCTCTGGATTATTATGTTCCATCTATCTATTTGAATATATCCATTAAAATACTATAATTCTGTGCTATATTAGTTTTATAATACATTTTGACATGTGTAATGCAAGTCCCTTCTAACTTATTCTTGGAGAGGGTCCTGGCTATGCTCAGTCTTTTGCATTTCAATATAAATTTTAGATTCAGCTTTATCAAGTTCACAAAATTAATAAATATACAAAGAAACAAAAGCTGCTAGGACAAAGATCAATTTGTAAAGAACTATGAATAATGTTCTAAGTCTTCTTCAATGTCTTTCAGTAAAATTTAGAATTTTTTCCATAATATACTCATAAGATTTATTCATAAGTCATAGCACTGAAAAATATATTAATTTACCAGTTCACTAATTCTTTACTCTGCTGAGTCCAGTTACTAAAACTGTCTATTGAGTTCTTAATTTCTATTATTCTATTTTCCAGTTCTAAGATTTCCACTTGGTTCCTTTTTAATACAATTCTCCATCTTGAACATATTAATCACAGTCATTTTCCAGTCTGGCTCTCATAACTGTTTTACCTGGGGTTGTGGTGTCCTGTTACTAGTGTCTTTTTTCCCCCTCCTTGTCCTTTTTCTTGATGTACTTGATGATTTTAAACTGCATTCCAGATACTGGGAAAAGTTACAGACACTCTATACACTATTCTGCCTCCAAGAAGGGCTCACCCTTCCCTATGGTAGGCAAATACCGTGAGAATCACCTTAATACAATCAGGACTGAGGGACGCCTGGGTGGCTTGGCAGTTAACCGTCTGTCTGCCTTCGGCTCAGGGCGTGATCCCGGGATCCGGGATCGAGTCCCACATCAGGCTCCCTCTGCCTGTATCTCTGCCTCTCTGTGTATCTCTCATGAATAAATAAATAAAATCTAAAAAAAAAAAAATACAATCAGGACTTAGCCGATTCAAGGGTCTTGGGTTGTGTTCCTCCAGTAGCATCATCTAAGAGCCTAGGATGTTTACTTATACCCCTCCCTCCTCCTTGATAAGGTTCTAAGCTTGTACTGTCTCCTCAATCTGGGGCTGCAGAGAACTTAGGTTTTTCAGAGGCTTCTGTTTAGTTTTTTAACACTGTCTTTGAAGCTTGGAATTCAGAGCTTATCCCTTGAGGGGGAAACTCAGGTCATCTGGTTTCTACTTGGTAGGAATGGTGAATAATGAGATTTGAACACTTTCACAAGTATATGCTACCAGTACACTACTTTTTGAAATGCATTTCCCCTTAAATGAATCCCATCTATTCTTAAAAGCTAAACTCAAGCAAATAAAATAGCAACTGTATATTCTGTAAAGTACCAAGCTCTATGCAAATATACTTCTTTTGGAGAACCTTTTCCAATTATCCAGCTCAGTGATTAGGACCTTATGTGAACTTATCTATTCTCCTAGGAATCCTCTTTGAGTGTTAACAGAAAGTAGATGCCAAGGAACAAAATATATAAAATGCAACGAATTCACAGAACACAGTTAATACTTACATGTTTCCATTCATGTAGATAAGGAAGATATATCTTCCCATTTGCATCAACATGCTTTCCCGTTTTAATAGTCATTGAACTAGTAGGCTTAACGAAACATATAGGGGGATTATATGGGTATGTGTCCAGCAGCCAGAGGCATATTGGAATATTATATATATTACCTGAGAGAGAAAGAGAAACTTCAGTTACTCTATTATTTTTAAATAATAGGTTAGTAAGGCAAGCAAGAGAGCTACAACTAAGTAACACATAATAGAAAAATCACAAATATTTTATGTTTCAAAGTTCTGTTTACGATGTTTCTCAAATTTCTAGTCTGTAAAATTTTCAGCAGGATGAAGGAACTAATTGATCACTACTCTGCCAGTGTCTGCTTGCTGCTCTAAAAACATTCTTTACAAGTTATCTTATGGCTCAATCCATTCTTTGCAATTTGACTCTTGTCATTTTAGTTCATAAGGTTCACTGGGAAAGGATATAAAAGGAAGACCACAGATTTTGGTGTCCTATCAGAAAGTGATAAGATAAGGTACATTTGAAATTCCCTTGCCAAAAGCCAGACTATAAAACCTAATCCAACTGCCAAACAGATGTTGATTGGTGGCCACAGTGTGACTAATCCATATAGTATTTTCTGTGGTAGTTACTCAGAATCAATGATGTTATTTCCTTTTGTTTGCATTAAGTAATAGAATCTTTCTCAGTTGAAGAATTCGACTAAATGTAGTCAAGTTGAACGGTGTTTCAAGGGATTCAATAGTTAACATGCTGACTATAACAATCTCCTTTTCTTACTAAGCTCAAAGCCCAATTTCCCAAGTAATCATCTGAATGGCCTAATGTAATTCAGATACATTTGTTCCCCTTAGAAACAGTTTCAATTCATATAAGTATATACACCTAAATCGCACTTAAATGAAATCAGTTGTAGGACTCTGGATTTATTTTTTACCCAAAATTTCATCTACAATGGGAAAAAAATCCAACTCCAATAGAATATACCCTAACATAATACATTAGTGTATTTCCATCACCCAGAATTCTTTGTTTTATGAAAACAAAGAATTCTACAGAATTACTTAGGCTTAGGAACTATGCCATATAAACAATGGTGAGGGAAGAGAAAAGGTTTATTTAGGTATGTCTGTCTATCATAAATGTCTAATTATGCCATAGTTTCCTGCCTCCCTCTCCCCACCATATAACTATTCTCCTACCCAACTTATCTCCTGAGGGCAAAGGTGAAGTCAATAATCCTGAATTTTACTCAGTCCACCCAAAATTCATCATAGCTACTTTATACAATGCTGATGCTCAAGCGTTTTCTCCCTCTGCCTGGAATGTCCATTCTGATATAAATGGCTGACTCAGCCTTTAATAGTAAATTCAAATGTTTCCTCCATGACCTTCCCACATGGACTTATTCTCCTCTGTAATCTCACAGCACCTTTACATTTTATCATTCTACAGCAGTTACAGGATACATTTAATAACTATTTACCTCCTCTGTTTTTCCTATTTGTGTAAGTTCTTCCATAGAAGGTACATCCTTTATGTATACCCAGCCCCATTCCCTATGCCTCATGCACAGCAAATACTATATAAAATCAATGGGTATGTTAGAGAGAGACAGATCTTAAGTAGTCCTGAGGAATAGGCAAGAAAAAGAGCTGTCCAAAAAGAGAACAGTTGTTCATGAAGCTAAAGCTCCCTTATCATTTTAAGTATTCCAGCAGAGGCTGGCTGACTGGCTAAGAAAAGACATAATTATCCATCATTAGCGTTAACACGGACTTTACAACTATAAATAATAGCTATTTTTTGAAAAAGCTATTTTTTGTTTATTACATGCCAGGCTCTGTGCTAAGTCCTTACATGATCACAACGAATACTTTTTGTAGTTCGTTCTATCATCCAATTGTTCACTGTCACCAAAATGACAGATTACAGAGAACTGAAACCTTACTCCATCCTGACTTTGAAGCCCCTATCTTAGCCATTAGACTACACAGCTTCCCACTGTTGGAAAAGTCTGGATGCGATGGGAGACTGAACTACAAGGCATAGAAAATCTCTAGGTGTGCCTGGCTGGCTCAGCTGGTACAGCACATAAGTCTTACTCTCAGGGTTGTAAGTTCAAGCCCCATGTTGGCTGTAGAAATTACTTAAAAATAAAATCTTTATTAAAAAAAAAACAAAAGCCAGGATGCCAGGGTGGCTCAGCGGTTTGGCACCTGCCTTCGGCCCAGGGCGTGATTGTGGAGACCCAGTATCGAGTCCGTTGGGCTCCCTGCATAGAGCCTATTTCTCTCTCTCTGCCTGGGTCTCTGCCTCTCTCTATCTCTCATGAATAAATAAATAAAATCTTTTAAAAAAAAATCGCTTTCTAGTTCTCAGATTCCCTGCTTCTATGAAACATCAAACTCTTCTAAAACACTGAGCACTTATTTGTGGATAGGTTTCAGTAAAGAAGGGGAAAAAAAGCTGAAAATATTAGGTGCTGCTGCCAAATGCAGTTCAATTAGAATAAAAGTTAAAATCTCTATATTATCATTAAAGTCAGGAGAAAGTAGGTTTAATTTACTTATTTACTTGTAAGTCTTTGGCAACCTACTAGGTGAATCACAGTGCATCTATACTGGAAACATAAATTACA